TTGTTCTGGAAAAGAATTACGAACTGCTGGAATAGAGAAACCTCTTCGGATATACTTGATGTAGTTAAATTCTTATAGACTGAGCTTTATGCCGTCGCATTCATCATGGTATTCTTTTCAATTTGAACGTTCGCTTGATTCCGCCTTGGATCCGTATCTGTATCTGACGGTTGGCCTTGTATCTGCTTGTTGTTTCGATTAAAGGATTTCAGCCCACCCCTCTGCCTGCCCCTCTCCCGACCACCAGGTCCTGGTGTTTGCCTCCTGATTAAGCATAATTTATGTTGGCCAAGTGGCGACCATTAGCGCTGCGTCGCCATCGTAGTCGCCATCGTCGGAGTCGCAGTCGCTATGTCCATGATAAATGCGCCGCATTAGCGTCCAATGCCAGCCGGCAATAAATCCCCACCCCACCCCCTCCCCTCTTTTGTGGACGTCACCCACCCCCTTTCCACCTTGGTAACCCCACGTATATTTCCCCGATGTTTGGTTAATTTCGTTGCGGGAATTTTAAATCATCTTTAAATTAGGGTCATACAAACTCAATAAACCAAAGGCAGGGGGGGGTGGTGGAGAATGGGGAGGGGGGTGATGGGGTGGCGCTACTTCTGCACTAATTGAGTTGCAGATACATTCGCACATTTGCCACAATTTGGCAAACAAATCACGTAGCAACTGACGCTGCTCATCCCAGTATCCAAAAACCAAAAACCACCCAAGGCCATTACACATCGTATTGCACTCTGGGATTTCGCTGGGGGTTACCTCTGTTTCATTTCCCTTTTTTTATATATTCGTTTTCTCCTGGGTCCTTTAAACACTGAACAGATGTATACATAGTGCAGCGAAAGTGGGGCGGTATTTCAGTATTGCCAAAAACACACACACACACACAGACCAGTATTTAATTGATTCGCTGAGAAATGTACTGCTAGCCAATCGGTCAAGGTTTCAGTTTTAATCGAAGCACATTCGCAGGAACAGCATTTATTTGGTTTCGTATTTGATCATTTAGTCCTTGTAATTTGTAGCTTTCAAATCTGTATAGCTAAACTTTTGCAAGTCTCATTCTTTTATGGCATTGGGATATATGTATGTAAACGTTCCCATTCCGATTCAAATGCGTTAAAATTTACATTTCTTTAATTTTCCCTGGCTCTGCTTGGGAAATGCAAATGCTTAAATGCAGCCGATCTATGGCTCTCGCTCTCTCTCTCTCTCTCTCTCTCTCTCTTGTTTTAGCCCCGTCCCTTTCGCCTGCACTATGCCCGTCTTTGTCTGCGGAAATGCATATGCATGAGGCTTTAGTGTGGCCACGCCTTGAAGTTGCCCGTTGGAGAGCACCGAAGCACAACCAAATTATCGACACTTAAAATGTTGCAAGCCTCGCTTGTTGTGCCACCACTTTGTACCCCCTTTACCCCCCTCGTTTTAAGGTACTTCCTCTGGGGTCTCCTCATCTTCGTCTTCGTCGCCGCCGAGTGTCGTTGTCCTGCCAAAGGATTCCCGTCGACGTTTATGTAATCTTAATGTTTATGCAGCTTATGCTTCATAAATTCGCCACCCCCATTTACCTCCCATTTAGCCCGCGCACCCCCCCTTGGAAATACCCCAAACCCCCTTCTCGGCGCCTCTGAAAATGCGCTGCTTTTGGCGCCGCGACGTCGTCTTCCGGTGGCATTTTGCGCCATCGCTGCTGGAGCTTCATTTTATACCCTTGCTGCTCGGTAATTTGCCCCGAATTTCGCCAACGCATCCAGTGAAACTTTTTAAGATGCCACGAAGGCCAAGAAATTATAATGGCCAAAATGTTAAAACTTCAAGTTTATCACCTTAAATTTTGTTATTTTACGAATAAGATGTATATTAAGTAATGCAAACTAAGCTCTTCTGATTAATGTAATATTAGTATTTAAAATGAAAGGTTTTTTTAGATACACATAATGGTATTGGAACACAGCTTGTAGCTCTAAATGTATTTATTAAATACAAAAAATATATAAATTAATAATATGACAACTAAATCAAACATATTAAACTGGAAGTGAATAATAATCATTAAGTTTTACGCAGGGTAACTACCGTTTCGTGTTCATTTTCGTTGGCAATTCATTTTGTGTGTTTTTGCCAGTTTTACTTTTTTTTTTTTACTTTTTGTTTCCTTTTTGCACATCCGTTGCCGTTTGTGCCATTTGTTTATTGCCAGTTTCATTGCTTCATTGCGAACGTTGGCGAGCTATACTACGCTTATCTGCCCCCCCCTCCGGAAAATCCTGCCCCGAAAGTCCTCCTTGCAGCTTCATCTTCATCTTCATTCGCCGCTCGCGCACTCATCCTCATCGTTCCTGCTTTATTTTGGCTGATGGAAATATTTTTACGACAAGTTTTTCGCGAAGATTTGCAACATTTGCAGAAAAAAGGAAAATTCAGCCAGCCAACGGAAGTGGATGTGGCACTGGAAGTTGGGCGAATCAGCGCAAAAACGCAGGGCGAGGTCCGAACGAAACGCACATTTTGGCCATAAAACGCTTAACGTTGATGTGTTCGCCTTGATCAACCTCTGACCCCAAAACTCTGGATCCCCGAAAACCCCATTCCCCATGCCGGATGTTGTCAAGTTTTATGTTAACATCGGCAGACAGAAATGGAATGACATTCGAGCATTCGGCGGGACTCTCCGCACTTTTCTCGTTCATGAATTTTGCATGCGGCAGCAGAATGCAAAATTATAATTAGGCAGCCGCGTGATGGGAGTGAAACAAGAGATATGGCAGCTACTTTCTACTCTCCCCACTTTCTCCCCTCCCCACTTTCTCCCCCCGATTACACAGTCAACGCACGTTCGGGCATAAAGTACATTTTATTAGCTTGCCTTTTGCATCGGCCACGGTGGTTCAGTGGTACAGTGGCTCAGTGGTGCTGCACCACTTCCGCTTACCCCATTTTCAGATGCCGGATGCCAAGTAATTGGTGTGACCAGGGCACAGAATCTTGGGGTCGATCATTACATTTCAGTTAACTAACTATGATCAGGAAGACATACTTTTTTTAAAACATAGGGTCAAATTTGAGTTATCGATAAAGATTTAGTTATGAAAAGAGAAAAAAACATTCCATTAAAAGTTAATTTGAAAGCTTATTGACCTTTGTTAAATATATTTTGATAATGGATAAATATTTCTCAATAGAAAATGTGAAAATTCTTTACTAAGGTACCAAGCTATTCTAACCTTTTATTGAATTTCGTAAAACTATTTAAATATTGCAATATACATATATAATTTGTAATAAAAATAAATAATAATAAAATTAAAGTTCAATGACCTTTCATAACACACAAGCTTAAAGATTCCCTATGAAAAACGCCAAAAGTTCCGGTCACACTTTGCCTGATTAGCAAAAAGTTTACTTTTTTCTCGTTCTATTTTTTTTCCCGCCGACAACGCTGCGTATGCGTAATAATTTTTTAGTTGCGCCACACCCGACACGAAACCCGGGGCAATGCAAATAAATATTCAATTGCAAATGGCCGACAGGACGGACGGCCCACACCCCTTTTGTACATGGGGTCAGGGGGTAAGGAGAAAGTAGAAAGTAGAAAGGGAAGAGAAAGGGGGAGAAAGTAGGGGAGGCTAAACGCGAAACGGACGCGCTCAAATTGCAAATTGCGCTCGTTTACAAGCGAAATAAATGCGCGAGCGCCTGCCATTTGGCAAAAGTCAGCCACACACACACACAAACACACACACACACATATACAGCGATCCTGACCCACCGCATTTTCCATGGATTTTCCTTTCCAGCTGGCATTAGAAAAATGAAGCGTCGTGCCGCAGAAGACAACTTGGTCGTCGCTCGACTTGGTTGACATTTTTGTGTTGCGTGCTTTTGGGCGCGTAATTAGATAAGGTCCTGTTTAGCCATGTTCAACCTTACCCAACTAGCTGCTCCTCCTCCTTCCTCCTTGCTGGTGTGTCACCAACGAGCCGCTGACAGATGGAGCGTCATAAAAGCGGCGGCAACAATGCGCCGCAGAATGTCTGAGGTTCGGAGCAAACCGAACAAGTAACAAGGAACAAGGAGTGGAGTGGAATGGAATGGAAAAGAAAAGGAGGGCGTGGATTTGTCACGTGGCCGGGATGGCAAACGCACCTGGGCACAAAGGGGCGGACAAGGACACACAACATGCAATTATACGCAATCAACATAAATCATTCAAATTGCCCAGCGAGGAGGGCAAAAGAATGGCAGCAGGGATAACACCGGAGGCACACTTCAGTGGGGGCGTTGACGTTGGCTTTTGGCTAATTTGCAATTGAAATGCCCAAATTCTGTGGGCTGGCCGCATTACGCATACGCCCAGTGGGTGCGTGGCAAAGGCTCCTTAAACATCCGCTCAGCCCATCCATCTTCCTCCCTCGACTGACAAATGCCACAGGGGCACGTGAGATGGTCAGCGGCCAAGGTAAATGAATGCCGGGATTGCCGGAAACTCAGGTGGGTGACGTCTGAACCTTGGAGGTTTTTTTTATGTATTTTTGTTGAATATCTTCCCTAAGGATTTTGGTTATTTAAATTCTTAACCAAAAAATGTAAATCAAAGAAAAAGGCCCAAAAACATAATTTCATAAGAGATCTTATCCCCTTTTCGTTTAGGTGTCCTGTTGAATATTTAACTAAGGCACTGTTGTAACTTTGCAAGTTATCATTTATATACCTTTTACTTGAAACTTGACATCAAAATATTTACTGTATTTACTACAAAAAATAGCAAAAAATTAAAATCAATAATTTACTCAAAAATTACGTTTACTTTTCACTTAAATATTATTTAACTCTTTTCAGAAAAGATTAAATTTTTTTCTATGTTTTTCAAAGCTTCATTTACAGACAATTAATAATAGAAAAAATAAATATTAAAAATTAATTTTTGTTGTTTTTTCTTTTAATCCTATTTTGTATTCAACACACTACACCCAGTTACTACAAACCAGTTCAAGTTTTAAAAATCATTATTTGAGATTTTTATGAAATATTTTGAGCTTGTGATACATTTCTGATGAGCGAAATTTACGAATTATCCTTGAGCCATGCCAAAAGTAGATGTCCTCCAGTCAAAAAAGTTCAACCAGTTTTTATCGAACCGAACATTAATACATCTTTTGGATATGTCTCCTCGGTTGGTATTCTCTATACTTTCTGTAACAATAGCTGTTTTTTTTTTTGGGGAAAATCGCATAACGCCCGAACTTTAAATTTGGGTTTTCTTGTAGATCGAGGAGATGACTGCAAGAAAATAGATCGACGGTATGTAGAAATTTCTACGATCTAACCGATTGCCGAATGCAGAATTGATTGATTTTGCCAAACAGTGCCAAAGTTCAAATGCCGATTGCCAGCGATTCCGTTCAATCAAAACAGAGCTGCTTATAGAGTCTAGCCCGTCTGCCAGGTGAGAAGTGTCCTGGCCAGGATTTAGGATTCAGGATCCAGGATGCAGGTCACTCGTCACTGGAAGAGCACGTCCATTGGCACGCCATAAATCTCGGCGATCTGCAGTTTGGTGTAGGCCACCACGCCGGTGGGGCAGTAGGCCATCGCCTCGTCCAGGGTGATCCACTTGGCGCTCGAGTCGCCGGCGCACACCACATGCAGATAGACGATCCCGTCGAAAACCGAGTGACTGATGATGCCCATCAGGTTGCTGGTGGTGCCGCCGCCGCTTCCGCTTCCGTTTGCGCTGCCGTTTCCGTTTCCGCCTCCGTTTCCGTTTCCCCCTCCGTTTCCGTTTCCGCTACCGTTTCCGCTACCGTTTCCACCTCCGTTTCCGTTTCCGCCTCCGTTTCCGCTGAAGAGGTTGCCGATCGGGCCGCCGGAGCTGGCCGGATTCAGATTGATGACCATACTGAACCTGCTGAAGTGTCAAAATATTATCAATTAAGAGCTTTCAGACAAAAAACGAAATGAACTTTGGCAAGCCGATGTTTATATAGCCTGGTGGTCATTACAAAAGCGAAATATTTTATAAAACGACAACAATAAAGCAATGTTCATTTACACATACATTTATGTTTTATTTATTTTCCAATTTTTCATATGAAACCTACTTAAAATTTCATCCTAATATCTTTAAAAATGATAGACTATTTAATGCAATCAATTTTCTCAAATAATATATATTTTGTAAATATTAAATGTTAAAAATGTAATATATTGTATCATCGGCATTTCGAATTAAAACCTTTGAATTACTTGTTTTCTTTAAAAACATGCTAAAAATTTTCTCAAATAAAATATATTTTGTAAATATCATATTAAATGTTAAAAATTGATTATATTGTACCATCAGCATTTCAAATTAATACCTTTTAATTACATCTTTTCTTTTAAAATATGTACAACAACAAAATATAATCTTATGAATTGATAGAAACTGGATTTTAGTTACTTAAAATAAAGTTATCTTGGTAAGATGGTATATCAAACAGAAAATGTGTGATATACCCAGTTTCTGATGCATATTCGATTGAAATTTAATCATGATCAGCTTATGAAAAATATGTAAATCACTCGTCAGCAAGAAATGACAGCTAAAATGTGTACTCTCCATTAGAAAAATGGAATGCGATACCCTTGCAGTGGCAACGACTACGTCAACTCACCTGTGTACAAAACTATCAAAAGTGGAAAAGAAATCGGGCTGGAACCAGCTGTCGACGTGGCCTGGACCTGGTGCACTCGCTGCAGTTGGCTGCCTTTTGGCCTTTTGGCCCGGTTGACCCTCGGATTCGGGGGTCCCACTCTCGGTCCTCTGTGTGCCTTGAACTTTGAACCTACGAATTTTGCGCTCTGTCTGTGCGATCGAAAGGAGTCTGAGTCTGGTGCAGTGGTGTGCTGACACAGGATCTGTTCCACAGATCTATGGATCTGATGCACGGTGCGCGGCAGCGAACTCTTTGATCAGCTAGATACTAGTACTAGATATGATTTTATCTCCGTTTGATTATTATTTTTTTTCAGTTTTGCTCTATGTACATTTTTTTTTGTTCAAACGGTGTGTGTGTGTATGAATGTGTCGATTGTGTGTGTTGACTACCTAGACGATTTCACTAATGATATCTCATATACCCTGACAGATATCTGGCATTCTACTCAATGCCAACTAGCATCCATTGTTTTAAACAAAACATAACCAACATGAAAATAGGTCAAAATATTGATAAACGCTAAATTGAAAATTTTGAATGCAGATTTTCAGAGAATCGAATCACAAGTCTTTAGAGGTATGCCACTTTGGAATCGGACTAAATTTGGTAAAGTTATGGACTCTAGAAGTCCAATTTTGGGTCACTCTATTACAACTCATCGGAAACTTAGAAATAATTATATATTTTATAATGCAAGGGAGTGATTGTAATGGGCAGTAACGCTCATAGAATTAATTATATAGGATATAGGATCGGCCGACTGATCCTTATGAAATTTGGTAGGTCGGATTGATTGGCCAAAAGAAAACCAATAGAAAATCCTAACTTCTTTACTTATAAACACCAAAGTTATGGCATTTACGATTGATGGCTTTAAAACTATAAAAATGGAAAACCTGTGGACCCTAATATTAAACGTAATAACCAGCAAAGCAAAATGAACTTGTGCAAGGCTTTATAGAACTCTCCACATAAAGCGCCAATACCTTTAATTATTTTTGACGTTGCTTGGCAACTCTGGTGCTTATGAGTGCGCCATGTTATGTTTTGCTCCTGCCAGCAACAAATGAACCGAGCAAATAAAACTTTCACGGCAAAGTTGTTGACATGGCAGCATCCTCTGCCATCCGCCATCCGATTTCCACCTGCGATTCCTGCACCTTCGCGCTAGCTCTTTATTTACGGCGGAAAGTGCAGTCCGGGAAATGCGGGGAAAGTGAGGGAAAAGCAGCAGAGCTGAGCTTAAGTCGAGGAAACAGGGGCCCCAAAGCAATTAAATCGCATTCGCTGTGTGGGAAGCAAATAGGATTCCGGTTCGGGGTTTTGAACAGAGAATCCCGGACAGAGACAAACAATCAAACGGAAATTAATTGCGGGATGTGTGAAAAGTGAAAGCCAAAAGCTGCTCGGTAAATGATTGTCGAGCAGCGAGTTTTCCCCACTCCCCCCTTTAACCCATCCCCTGCCCCCGCTTAACCCCTGATTGATAGCTGGCCCAAGGCTGGAGCATTGACTCTTGCATTCCAGGATGGAAATAAAAAATAACTCAGCAGGGGAAAATTTATTTCAATGTTTTCCTAGACATGTCTTTTCTGGGGACTTTGAAATTTTGTAATACTACAAATTGGATATAAATCTTCAATGCAAATGGGTAGCCAAAAAATGCTCCTAACAAATTTTACGATAATTTCTTCAATAATTTTAAATCATTTATAAAACCATCTTAAAGTATTTTAAACATTTTTTTTTAATTTACTCTGAAGAAAGCAATCCAATACTTCTACAACTTTTTGAAAAGTATTTTTTAATAATTCAAACAGATAAATTCAACAATCGATAATAAAAGCACCTAGCCAATCCATATCCCAGAATATTTTCCTAAGAACTTCATTTGTTAATATATTTTATAATAAGAAAAATCATTTTCGGTTCTCACAAAATATTTATCAATTTCTTTTTCAATTTTTGTTAACCCATAAAGATATTCATGTTTTAATATTAATGCAGGCTTTTCAAATTATATTAAAAAAAATTCTAAGGAAATCGATTGGGTAATGTTTTTTGAAGGCTTTTTTTTTGTGTTTCTCATTGTTTGTCTTATTTTGCGTGTAGTATGACATTCTGCACAATCATTCAGCTTATGTTAAACACAAAAATGTTCCACTTTCGTGTCATGGCATTGCCAAACCCATTGAGCCATCAGTGGAGGCTTAATTAATACATCGTTACGTGCAGTTTTTGGTCAACAATGGGCCTTTATTTGGGGCCTCCAATCGTCCATGGCCATAGTCATGGCCGTATCCATATCCGGATCCGGATCCGGACCCCGTTCATAATGAGCCGCCTCATTGGACCGGCAAGTGAGTAATATCTTCGTGAAGGATTTGGCAGGTGCACATGCCTCCCGAGGGAAAAGGAGATGGGGAGTGCCTCCATTGACTCGGTTACACGCCTCGGTTGACTCCAGCTTCCGCTGCAACGCTCTGCTCGGCTCTGCTCTCCAGCCAGGCGTTTCATATTGCCACCCACACCTGCCACCTGCCACCTGCCACCACCCACAAAACCACCCACATGCCGCCCAACTGCAGTCGCACTCACTTCATAATGCTGTCAAGGTTGAGCGATGCTGAAATATTGACGCCTGCCCTTTAAATATTCACGAGCTTCGTGGCTTGGCAAGATAACTTGGTGTTGGCTTTCACCTGAAGCAGAAATGCGGAATATTTACTTGTCTGCTTAGTAGAATCCATCCTTTACTTTAAGTCCTCGAAAAGAGTATTTACATTTGGTTTCTGACACTGCTATGTAAGTACTTGAAAAGGGCTTAAAAATAGTGAAAAATAATCGAACCATCAATTTGTTTTGTTTTCAATCGCATTTGTTTTCCAAGAAGTAGGTGCTTGGTATTAATATTTGACCAGTTTTGGATAAGTTTTGTTTCTGCAACTAGTAATGGAAAAGGCTAAAAATATTCTAAAAGAAAACTCGTAGTGTTGGTTAACTTGCTTTAAAAAAGTGTTGCTTAAGCCATTGTATATAAAAAAACGTTGCATTAGGGAAAAATATAGTTAATAAAAGCTGTAGATAAAAAACTAAATTCCTGCTAAGCTGAAAAAGCTGTACGAAGATTACAGTGTGCCGACGGCGTTCAAAGACGTTCAATCTGCGGACTTGTGCGATTGACTTGTGGATGCAACTTGCCAGAAGAGGTCAACACACAAACACACACACACACACACAAGTTCAACGACTGACACAAATATGTATTTACCGTTTACCTTTTGTTCTCGACCGGTCTGTTGTTGGCCAACTTGCTGGAGACCAGCATCGAATCCAGAAACAATTGGAGTCCCGGGCCAGGGTTGCCAACATAAACAATTTATGCACAACAAACTGGACTCTTTTGAATGGCAAAGGCGAATGAAAGCAGGAAAGCGGGGAAAAGGGCAGAAAAAATGAGGGAAAAAAAAAGAACAGGGAAAGTCCCGGCTAGCAGCCAGCAAACTTTTAGCTTGCCTTGTTAGCTAAGCGTAAACAAGTGCGGAAAAGAGGGTTGTGGAGGCGGAAAATGGGAGGGGCAGGTGGTAAGTGCGGGTCATTTGAATGCATGTTTGGATGGACAGACCTCAGCGTCATCGATGATAAGCGAGAAGTCAACAGCGGTGAAAGGGGGTCGAGTGGAGCGGAGAAAGTGCCTCTCAAGTGGGTGGTGGGTGGTGGGTGGTGCTGGTCCGGTGGATGAGGGAGGGGGAGGGGGGTTGGTTGGTATGACATGGTGGCTACAGCTTTGACCATGTGTTTGTGAGTTTGCGGCGGTTGAGGCGCAGAGTCAACGCCAATGGTAAATATTTAGCTCTCGGCTGCACTTGAGATTAACTCGCACACAGATGCAGAAGTCCAGGGGGGAGGGATGTGTGTGCGGGTGTATGTGTGTGTGTGTTGGAAACGGACAAAAGCGGAGTGAAGCGAAAATACAAACACACTCAAAAGTGAAAATGGAAAAAGTTTCAATGGTTTTATCATGTTTACTTTTATTTGTGTCACTGAGTGGTTGTATAAGCCCCAGTCGCAGACCCACCAGCCCCTGGAATACGGACAGGGGTCAGGGGTCAGTTGCGCAGGATAAACAAACACAGACGGGGAGGGGGGTGGGGGGGCAACTGAAGAGTGGAGTGGAGTGGGACGAACGAGTGGCACACACACATAAGAAGCGTATGTTCAACACACTCAAGGGAGATCACTGGCTGCCGTGAAGTGCCCGACAAGTGACAGCACTGGATTTCGATAAGGAGCCGGGACAATGACAGTGTCCTTGGTCCTTGCTCCTTGCCCTATGCCCCATGCCCCATGCCCCTTTCCCCTTACTTCTCCAACTGAGCCCAGCTGAGCTACAGCTACAGAAACAGCTCCGGGCATCGAACTGCAAAATTCCCTGAATCCCACTTGAGTTACGCCTTTAATGCGGCGCTGACCTCCCACCGCCCACCTCCCACTGCCCACCTCCCATCCTGGCATCCTCGGCTCAAGGATGACTCCTGAAGCTCACCTAATCAGGTGCTAAGCTGCAGAAAGCTGCCTCGCCAGATGTTGCAGCTCTTACAATTCGTTCCCCGTGTTTACCTATTTCGAACAGCACTGGCCATAAAGAACTTGACGCTTTTCGGCTTTCCAATTCCAGCGTTGAGTGCGGATCGAGCACGGCTTAAATTAATAGAAACCCCAACTCTTAAGGGATATCTTTGGGATGCGAAGTATATTTTAAATGACATTTTACGCACCTATAAGCATTTTAATAGACCAATATTGGGGCACAAACAGGGTTAGGCCCACACAATTATTATTATATATATTTTTTCGGAATGTAAATTAATTTTGAAATAAATATTTTAAGTAAGTCAAAGCAAAACTTACGATACAGTGCATCAACCGATTCATGTGGTCGAATAAATACTTTAGCATAAGCCCTTAATTATATTTATTTAATATGTTTTGCCATATAAAATGATTATTATATAAATAATAATAATAATAAAAAAATGTAAAAAATGTGAAATTTTAGCGTGTAAAACCGTGGCCTTTAATTGGTGGAATAAGAACATAACTACCTAACTACTACCCAATTCATAAATTCATTACATTTTAATAAATTTAACAATTAGTAATTTAAAACTGACGGTTAGCTACCTCATTTCAATTAATTCGTGTATGTGACTAAATCAACCGACGCTCTACTAAATTAAGCTTCCCTTTCGGGCAATTGGAATTACTATTAAGTATTTATGTCGCAACCAAATTAAGTGTTAATCGGCTTTTGGTCATAAAGCTTACGTATAGCGAAAATTGGTCGCACTAAAGATACAGAGTATTATACCTATAATATAATACCTAT